TGGACTCCGCGGTTCCGGCGGCGCCGCAGCCGGGCTGAGCTACGGCGGCCGCGGCGTGAGAGCACCCCCCTTCCTCCGCTTCCGCAGCCAGGCTCCCTGTTACTGGCCTAGGGGACCCCCAACAGCCGCACCCCGGGGGGAGACCGCTCCCCTCCCACTGCAGTGGGAAGACCCTGGTTCCCTTCCCCATTCTGATCGCTCCCCCGGGTCGCGGCCCAGGCCCCCGAGAGGCAGGGGGCGCTGGGGAAAGAGGGCAGAGCTGTTCAGAGTTGCTTAGTCTTCCTCTGGGGGTGGACGCTGTTGCCAAAGCCCGTCAGTCTCACCTGCAGTTGGCAGACGGGGCCTAGAGCCGAATCCAGGGGAAAGCTGGTGTGTTTGGCCACCGCTTCTCACTGGCTATGTTTAGGAAAGTAAGATTTCATTTTGGGGCATGCCAAAGGAGAGCAACAGGATCAGAAGTGAATTGTGCGTGTTTTCAGTAATACAGCTGCCCTCATGTCGTTGCAGGCCCCGATGGCCCTTTTCAAGCCACTCAGTTATGGAATGGCATGATCCGTGCTCTTCGGGACCAGGTGGAAATCAAGAGGAGGCGGCAGCATCTAAAGATGTACAGGAACTGCTTCACTGGCTCTGATGCTGTTCATGTGGTGCTGAGTCATCTTATGCAAAGCATGTACTTAAGCAGCAATGATATTTCTCGTGTGAAGGGAGTCCGCGTGTGCCAAGTGTTGATGGAGCGCAAGGTGTTTGAGCCAGTTGGAACAAAGCTGTTCAAGAATGAAAAAGACCTGGAGTTTGAGGACACAAGTAGCAGCCTTTATAGGTTTGTGGACCACGGTCTTTCTCCTTGTGAACTGAAAGAGAACAAAGATGCTGAGAATGTGCCCCCTGAGGAAGTACTTGAGCTGAAGGCAGAAAGACTTTCAAGGTTAGTCATGGTCAGCTTTCACCGCATCTCCACCCCTCCCTCCCCATGTGGTATTCAAATTGCCTTCTCCAGTCACATAAGGTAAGCCGTTGAGACCTATGAAACCCATTGGTACACCAACTTCTTCCCAGTTTTGGGAAACTATATAGTTTATCATGATACCATCCTGAATTTCACTGGTAATGGTAGTCACCTGAAGTCTTCTCCAAGCTGGCTGCCTATAGCAAAGTCTGCCTTTTTCCTCAGTAAGCAGTCTTCTGTAAGGAAGCTGGGGGCAGAGGCAGTTTAATAACATGTAATTGAGTTTGGTGTTTGACTAAGCATGGGTCCAGCACTCCGTGTTCTCATTCAGATTTTAATGCTGACCTCCTGTTTGAGTTATTTTTCATATTGTAAAAAGTCATCCCCCCCTACTCCAGCTTGTAACATGAGTTATTTTTCATTGCTGTGCTGATTACTGGTTCTGATAAAGCACTGTGGAAGGATTGTGCTCCTTGAAATGTACACAGAGCTGACCAGTGGATCTCAGGCATCTTTTCAATTTGTAGTCGTCTTAACCCAGATCAACTACAAATTTGTTTATGCTAAGCTGTGACAGGACTCCAATGGAAGGGTCCTCTCTCTAGCTATAGCCAGTCCTGTCATTCCCCCACTCTACTCTGACACCTCCCGTGTGCCCACTCACCTGCCATGCCTTGCTGGAGGGAAAAAAAAAAGCGAGCTGGGATGTGTCCTACCTCTGTACTGAGCAGGAGCATGGGGGAAGGAGAGCAGGGAGGGCACACACAGGGAAGAGGAATCTGATAATGTCTGAACACACCAGCGGGGCTCCTGGTATCTATCGGCTCCCTGGCTATCTTATCTGAAGTGAATCTTTTCCAGCTCAGTCACTGAGTCCAGCCCATTTTGGGCTCTCAGTCTCTCTGGGCCTAGGGTTCTTGGGTCTTCAGACCTCCTCTCCCAGTCCCTGATCACTTCTGTACTTCTGCAACTCAAAGCCTTGGGCTTGACAAACGCACCACCTAACCGTTAGATCACAGTGGCAGGTCCTTAGGCCCCCACTCAGCTTGGGTTCCTGCATCTTCTGACCCACTCCTCGGATGGGAGAAATATCACGCAGGCTGTTGAACAACCTGTTATGCATCCTCCTTGTCTACCCTTATAGCTGTTCCCTATCCACCAAGTGCCTGTTGAACAGAAGATTCAATTTAGTTTCTTCCCCACCTAAGAAAATTCTGACACAGTCCATAACACAAGGGTTTGCTGCTTGGGCCTGGTACTAGAATAAAAAATCCCAACTAAAACCCATGTAGGATTAGTCATTTTGTCCATCACAGCATTCCCTCTGTCCAACAAGAACAATCCATCTCTTCCACAATCAGAGCTTGATTAACTTTCCCTTCTCTGGGAAAAACTTTTATATACCCCCTAGCCCCTCCCCCTTTCCAGTCACTTGACCCATTCTGCTTCCCTTGGTAGGAGGGTCTGTGTCCCTTGGTAGGTAATAACCTTTGCAGCGTTCATGCTAGTGGTGGCCATCTTAACCCCTAAGCAACTTTTCAGGTTTCTCTGGCTCTCACTACCCTAAAGCGGTGTCTTGGTGTGAACACCCCTGCCACAGCAGTGGACAGGTAAAAATGCCCTGGTTAAGGGCTGCTACTAGGGTGGCCATCATAGAGGACATTCTGGTTTTCTGCTGCTCTGTCCTCTATTGATATGAATCCCAACACTTTTATGTCCTCTATTTTTCTCTAGAAGAGAAAGATGGAGGACATAAAGGCATCCGGTTTTGTATCAATAGAGGACAGAGGACAATCGGACTGTCCTCTATGATGGCCACCCTAGCTGCAACATGTGTTCGCTTTTCTGCTTTATTAGGGTTTTCTGCTAACGGTAAATCAAGCAGGAAAGCCAGCTATCCAAAAACACTATCCAAATCTTAATTTATATCATTTGTGCAACTGAAAGAAATGTAAAACTGTCATTTAGGCAGACTTTTTTAACGTTCTCTGGATTGTATTTATTATGAACTTAAATGTTTTTTTTCATGATAGACGAAAATGTGACACAACAATTTCAAATCCCTTGGCACTTGAAGCTGCTGAAAAAAAGGAGATAGAGGAACTTCTTCAGTCAATAAATATACATCCATCTTTTTTGCCTAAAGTTCTAGTTGGTGAACCACTCCATCTGCTTTCACAAAGAGGTGATTACTTGCATTTTACTTGAAAATAAGTACTCTTACAAAAATAGCTTATTGTAATATTAAATAGAAATGCTTTTTTTTTTAACTTTTTTAAAACAGTAAATAACATTTTATAAATATGTTCCCAATAACCTAGCTTATCTAGGTGTTTGTCTCTCTCTTTGTGCTCCCAGTTATAGAAGATGTGTGGAAACAACAGACTCTATTACGGCTACTGCAGTTAATTGATCTTCCAATCCTGGAAAATATTTTAGAATCCCCAAGAAAGAAAAAAAATAATCGGCTTGGCAAAGAGGAAGACTTGATTATCTCAAATACTTTCTTGGATAGAGAGGTCATATGCAGTTTAAATCTGCCTGAGTGAGTTATACATCTCCTATACATTTTTAATATTTTAGCATACTTCTAATTTCACTCTGACTTCCGATTTCTACTTTAAGTGGGCAGGGTAGGGCTTGTGGTTGAGTGATACCCTTAGATATGTGTGTGATATATTACTTGGACTGCTGCCTTTCAGTTAACTCCCTTGTCACTTCTGAGAATACTTATATTATTCACCTAATGGGGGCATGGGAGGAAGCATATAAGAAGTAGAAACTTGGACAAATAACTAGGGAAAAGTATAAGAGCATTGCTCGGGCATGCAGGGATGAAGCCAGGAAGGCCAAAGAGCAATTGGAGTTGTGGCTAGTAAGGGATGTAAAGCATAACAAGAAGGGTTTCTACAAGTATGTTGGTAGCAAGAGGAGGATCAGGAAAAGTGTGGGTCCCTTACTGAATGGGGGAGGCAACTTTCTGACAGAGGACACAGAAAAGGCTGAAGTGCCCAATGCCTTTTTTGCCTCAGTCTTCACAGGCAAGGTCAGCTCTCAGACTATTACACTGGGCAGCACAGTTTGGGGAGGAGGTGAGCACCCTCGGTGGTGAAAGAACAGGTTAGGGTCTACTTAGAAAATCTGGATGTGTACAAGTCCATGGGGCTGGTGAATGTGGTGTACCTTGATTTTTAGCAAGGTTTTTGATACATTCTCCCAGGCAAGCTAAGGACGTATGGGCTGAATGAATGGACTGTAAGGTGAATAGGAAACTGGCTGGAGCATTGGGCTCAGAAAGTAGTAATCAATGGCTCGATGTCTAGTTTGCAGCTGGTATCAAGTGGAGTGTCCAAGGGGTCAGTCCTGGGGCCAGTTTTGTTCAGTGTCTTCATCAGCGACCTAGAAGATGGCATAGGGTGCACCCTTAGCAAGTTTGTAGATGACACCAAGCTGGGGGGAGTAGTAGATAAGCTGAAGGTTAGGGCTTGGATTCAGAGTGAGTTTGACAGATTGGAGCATTGGGCTGAAAGGAATCTAATGGGGTTCAACAGGGACAAGTGCAAAGTCCTGCACTTAGGACAGAACAATCCCACACACCAGTACAGGCTGGGGGCTGACTGGCTGGGCAGCAGCTCTGCAGAAAAGGACCTGGGTGTTACAGTGCACAATAAGCTGAATGAGCTAACAGTGTGCCCTTGTTGCCAGGAAGGCTAGTGGCATACTGGGCTGCATTGGTAGGAGTGTTGCCAGCAGGTCAAGGAAAGTGATTCTTCCCTTTTATTTAGCACTGGTAAGACCACATCTGCAGTACTGTGTCCAGTTTTTATCGTCCCCCCCGCCCCTACAGAAAGGATGTGGACAAATTGGAGATAGTCCAATGGAGGGCAATGAAAATGGTGAGGGGGCTGGGACACATGACTTAGGAAGAAAGACTGAGGGAACTGGGTTTATTTAGTCTAGAGAAGAGGAGAGGGGACTTAATACCAGCCTTCAATTACCTGAAGGGTGGTTCCAAAAGAAGATGGAGCTGGACTGTTCTCAGTGGTGGCAGATGACAGAACAAGGAGCAATAGTCTCAAGTTGCAGCAAGGGAAGTTTAGGTTATATATTAGGAAGAATTTTCTTACCAAGAGGGTAGTAAAACACTGGAACAGGTTACCCAGAGAAGTGGTGGAAGCTCCATCCTTGGAGGTTTTCAAAACGTGGCTAGACAAAGCTTTGGGTGGGATGACCTAGCTGGGGATGGTTTTGCTTTGAGCAAGGGGTTGGACTAGGTGATCTCCTGAGGTCCCTTCCAACCCCAACTTTCTATGATTCTGGATTGAGCAGTTCCTGATTAAATGCTTCTTACTTATTTATGCCTGTGTGGAAAGTGGAACAGATGAATTCTGATCTTAAATAAGTGAAACATTCTAAAGGTCTTTTTGGAAACACTTTAATAGTGATGGTACAGAGAATGTTTAAGGCAAATAGAGCACTTGTTAAATTAAAGGAAAGCCCTGCTAATAACATTGGAGGGTCACTGTGCCGTGTAAATGATTATATAAAATAAAACATGGCAATTTGGTGCCAGCATTTTTTTGTCTTTCTAAACTTCATTGTTTCTGACTTGTTCCTGTTGGTTGCATCTGGATTGATAGCCTCTCAATAGCTTGTACTATAGCCGAAAAAAAATTCTGTTTGGTAGCAATTGCATGATGAATACAGGTATATGTCCTTGTATATATGCATGTCCTAAGGTCAAATCCAATGAAGTCATCCATTCTTCTGCTGGCACTTCCCTTAGTCATGCCTTGAAAAATAAATTTGGTTTGGGACTGGTAAACTCTCCCAACTTTGATTCTGGTACTGTTTAGGTCAGTCTTCATTGTCAAAAAAAATCTGCATTACAAATAGCCTAATGTACTTGTTAACATAGGAAAACACCTGAGAAACAAAGGAAAATGCACTCTGAACTACATAACTAGCGAAGTTCAACAGTCATTACCACAGTTGATTGTTTAATAGTGTCCTCCTTCAGTTTGTGCTATACAGGTTGAATATAGATTATTTCTTCTAGATACCCTCATGTTCAAGTTGTCTGCTGGTAGGTCTCGTAATCTTGTGATGTTTCATAACTACTCTGTACAATGCTCCTTATTCTGCCCTCGTTGTCTTTTAGCATTTGGTTCTTTGTTAGCATGTGATACTGGTAATTAAAGTGATTTATTCGTACTCTTTTTAGTCTAGTAATCCATGACAGACTTAATGAAATCTGGTTTTCTGTCACTAATTTAGCTGACCACTTAGGTCAGAAGGTAGAATGGCATATGCGTATAGCAGAATATTTTTTTTTTTTTTAAGACAACATTATAATCAACTAGTTTAGACTCTTTCATTATGCCACAGTCCAAGGACTTCCCTGAATGAACTCCTATTTGCACTAAGGAATAGCTTTTAGGAAGACTTCCAATCTTGGTTTAAAATAATGCTGTCAGTTGTACAATCCTTGGTAAATTGTTCTAATAGGTATTTTTTCTTGCTGTTTAAAAAAATGGCACTGCTGCTTCTAACTAGATTTGTCAAGCTTCAGTCTCCAGTGATTGGATATACAGTACATATATATATTTATATCTTCTGCTTGACTGAAGAGCCCTCTATTATCACATTTTCTGTTCCATGTGCAGGTATTTATAAACTCTGATCAAATCACACCTTAGCCTTCTCTTTGATGATCTAACCAAAGTGAGCTCTCTGAACCTTTAACTATATAAAGGAATTTTTCCAATCCTTGCATCATTTTTAGTAGCTCTTTGCACTTCAGTTTCTCAACACCGTTTTTGAATTATGGACACCAGAATCAGACATAGTATTTCAGTGTCAGTGGCACCATGATCAAAAGCAGAGGTATTAATAACCTTTCTGTTTCTACTTGATATTCCACTAATATAAACAATCCAAATTTACGTTAGGTCTCTTGGCTAAAGCATTACACTAGGAATTGATGTTTGGCTAACTTTCACTAGAAGTTTCCTAAATCTCTTCTTTTGAGAACAGAAGATAAAGATTGACAGATATAGGTCTTAAATGATAGTTTCATCCTCTCTTGAGGGAAATAAACTTTCTTGCAAATGTTTTCTCGCAAGGTGTTGGTCAAAGAGTCTGGGCATAGATGAAGATTCAGAAGTTTTTACAGGCTTTTCAACAATTTGAGCTTTCATTTCTTCAAAAATAGCTTGTTGAGTGACTAATTGGTTTATTCTCACACTACAGTCTTTCTGAATAATGAGTCATTTTTGGTTTTGGTTCTTATACCATCTCTGCAAATTATTCAAGGTCTTTGTTTCTTCCCTTTAGTTTCTTTGCTTTAATCTGTGGCTTAAAGCAAAGTGATGCTTTGCATACATTGGCAAAATGACCATCTTCTGCCTATGGTCATCAACAGTGTTTCATCTCTGTTGGTATTAGACTTTTGTAGATGGAGACTTTCAGCACTACGAAATCCTATTCTGTGCTGGGAGAGGTAGTGTAGAGTTGGAATTTTAACAGTTAGGCAGTTTTGAAAATGACCTGACCTGTTCTTATTGCATTGGTGCTCCTCTCTTTAAGAACAATTCTTGAAAATAGTCTTTAATAAAAATTAAGAAAAAAAGAAGATTGGACTTAATCAAGCAGCTTTGACTGACTCTGGATGCGTCTCCACGTATGCTTTTTAATGCACAGTAAAATAGGTGCATTAGTGTCATGTAAAAAGAACATGCAGTTATGCTAATGCACAGTAAAATAGGCTGCTGTGCAGTAAGTGGCACTTAACAAATGGGCGCTTTTGGTGCTGCACATTAGGGCAGCCTAATCCACATTTAGTACCTCACATTGAAGGTACTAAATATAACGCATGTTAGAAAAAAGTGCATTAATGAACGTGTAGAGATACCCTCTGAGAATCAATTTTTAAGCTCAGCTTAATTTAACTGAGAAATCATTGTATGTTCACCTTCAATCAGTCATAACTCTAGTTTAGGCTGTTCCTGAATACACTAGCCAAGGAGTCATTTCCCATTTGGATTCAAAATGGTTGTGAAGTAGTCTCAAAGATAAAATAGACTTGAATTGGGATATGTTTGCCCCGCACCCCTTTCCTTGTTGCCTACTGGGGTTTTTTGATGTACCTTGCTCCTCAATGAAGAGAAGGAAGGGTCTGTTTTCCACTGGGTCTGTGCAAATGCCTCCCTGCAGGTCTTACCTCACAAAAGTTTACTCCCTTCCTGCTTTGTACTACAGGTAGTTAGTTAACTATATTGGTAACATCTCTGCAGTGCTCTTGTTTGCAGTACCGGTCTTAAATTTAGTGCCTGTTTCTTGCTCACTTCCATTTAATGATCAGATTCATTGAATTTTTCAAGGTTTCAAGTGTTGATGTTTTTGTCTTTTGAGGGACGAAAACTAAACAGTTAACTTTAAAGATTCAATCCTTTGACAACCTGTTTAGCTCTTGTTTTTGGGCTGGCTAAATCCCTTCATGTAGCACACATTTCTGAAGCATCTCTTATGTCCCTCTGTGCTTGCAGCTTTGCTGGAAGGCAGAACAAGTATATTGTTTGTAGCTTTGGAAGGGGATACTAAAGTTGTAATTTGAACAAGTGTAAACTACTATCACTAATAGGATGTTTGAAATAAATTAACTGCTTGTTAAGTGAGCTGGGCAATGCATGAATTTCAGATGTGCATATGGCAATACTTGCATGCGGCTAATTCACTTGATCTTTAGCTTAAATTATTTTGCCCAATGCTAAATGTCAGTACTAAAACTAACTTTTCCCCCCTCCCCAGGCTTGATGAATGGCTCTGTGCTGCAACTGAATGCTTGGAATATTTCCCAGACCAGCTAATAGTCATGGTTAACCAGCAGTTACTTCAAATCAGTAGAGAGCTGAGTGACTTGAATATGCACAAGAAGATACTTTTTGATGTTATAGTAAAATATTATAATCAAATGAGAGATCCCCTTCTCACCAATCAGGATCTCGATATTCATACAGGAATCATTGAACTTATAGGTAAGAGCAAGTTAAAAACAAACAAACAATGTACAGGTGAATACTATTTTTTAAATTAATTAGATTATTTTTCAATTTTTTTAAAAAGAGATATCAGATGAGTGCCAAATTACTTTGCTATACCAGGTTCTGTCAACCAAAAAGAGGGACCTTTTTGTTTCTTATCTTAATTCCAGGATTATGAGGTCATGCTACAATACTAATAAGTATGATTCTCTAGCTTCTGGCAAAGAATCAATTTCCCAACCTGAAACAATAGTAAGGGTGTCATTTAAACTGAAGTGTAAGGTAAACCCTGCTCTGAGTGTGCCTTGTAGTACTTAAGGAGTATAAGATATAGAGAATCTTAATTTAAATTTTATAGTTGTGAGAGATCCCTGTTACAGCTCCATTGCACATGAACATGGTAGTATTCATGAAGAAATGGAGCATAAGCATATAAACCCCTTCAATAAGAAAATGCAATAAGCAATGTATTATCCTAAACCTTTTGCCAGAAAAAAATAGTATAGTAGAGGAGCATTGAAGTGATATGGTTATAAGAACACAGGAAATTCTCAACTCAGAATTACAAATCTGAAATGGCTGGCTTAAAGAAGTCTTCCACTTACTTAGTAGTTCAAACAAGAGTGCCTTTTATGTAAATTGTCAAATAATTCAAATATAATAGGAATAAAAATCCTTAATCCCTGTAGAACACTTTTTTAAAATACAGAAATATTTAAAACAAAAAAACAGCATGCCATGTAATCATGCCATGCTTTGTTGCACCAATCCTCTAAGGGACATCTAGTTTATTCCTTTATGATTTCCCAAACTAGTCAGCCAAAATCTTCTGGACAAACAGTTTCTAGTTTACCTTCTATTTCTTCTTGTACAAGAGGTTATTTAGTTGACGTTGCAAGAAGTTTCTGAAAAGTATTAGATTTAATTCAGATTCTTCAGGTTTACATTCAGCTGCCCACAATATCCAAAATTGTATTAGGAGGAGCTCCTACTATATTTATAACCACCTGTCCAAGTACTTGCTGTTGAATTGGTTTAGGCTACCAGTATATTAGTCTTATTGCTGGACATGTAGAACTACTAAAGAGTTCATGTGGATGGTGGTGGGGGGTGATGTATGTGTGGTTTGGTTTTGTTTTGGGGAGAAAGAAGAAGGTTTGGCAAATGTAGAAAACTTTAAATTTTTCTTATGTATAACATCTGCTTGCAAATGCAGGTATCTTGATGCAGACTCTTTCTGTGTTGTTATCAGTTTTGAGTCTTGTTTTAAAGGCAAATTACCCACCTCTACCATTGCCCTTGAGACCAAGGGGCATCAGAGTTAGAACGTGTTACCCCCTCTACCAGAAACGGATCCTAGACCTGAATAGCATTTCCCCGTACTTCTTTCATTTTGACTCCTTTCCATTTAAAACATCCCAATAACCTTTTGAAAACTTAAGCATGGTCAAAAACTATTTTAAGTGTGTAGAATCTGGAAATGTCCAGTCTTCCTCAGTTATTTAATCTCCTGTCAGTTTCTTTCCATAATTTCCTTCTGATCTTTTCTTTTTGTCCATTCTCTTCTCTGGCTGCGTGCCCCTCATTTACCCTTTCTTCTTTATTTTCCAAGTTAATTCACTTCCACTGTTCTTCTCCTTTCTTTTTTTTTTCTTTAGGGGAAAAATGTTCATGAACCACTGCATAAAAATGTAGTAGTTTTTATTTATTGCAAAAAAGTCTTTTTGGTTCAGTGACTATGGCTAGCCTGGGAATCAGACTTGACTGGGTTCTGATCTTAACTGTGATGGCAGAATGGGCAAGTAATTTGTATGAAGGTTAAGTTTCACGATCCCCACTTACAGATAGCTTTTAAGGTTGTTAACCCTATGAGGAGGGGTTGGAACTCGCTTCACCCACTTAATATAAGAAACATCCTTTTCAGAGGGGGGGAGGGAGGAATCATCAAGAGAACATTAATTTTTATTTTTTAAGCTTTTCAGCAATGAGAGAGAGAGATCATTCATAATGCAAGAAGCAGTCAAGGATAAAGGCCAATGGTGTGGAAACACCCATTGAATGTTAGAAGGTAAAATAGTGGTGGTCACATCTGGTACATTTAAAGACTTCAAAATAGTTAGGGGGTGTTTCTTAAAAACATCCTAATCTAACCAGGATAGAAGCTGTAAGCCTAGAATTCAAATTTGAATCTCTTATTTAAAATAAATCTTGCTGATATTAAGATGAATGTACTGCACTATGTACAGTATTTCTCTAACATTTAGAGCATGGAAAAGCAGAACAAGCTCTGGAAGGACTGCAGCTTTACTTAAAATTACTAGAGCCAAACATCCGGGAAGAACTGCGTAGACTACTGATGTTTATAGCTATTGCCTCAGAACCAGAGAGCTACAAGTTACAGAAACAAGTAAGTACTGTATCTAAATATAGATGTGAAAAATATCATTCCTTTATTGTAATGTTAATAGACATTTGTTTAGTGTTGTTTGGTAACACTTTCTTTCCTGTTTGATGCTTTTTAAAACCTAAACTTAAATGTACCCTTGCAACAGTGTAGGTTTCATGACTGACTGTTAAGAAATAGTCTTAATAGAGATCTGTGATTTTGCCAAATTTAATCTGTGATGTAATTCTCTTTTTTTTATAGTTTGATAACAGATCATTTATCATCAAGACTTTCACCAAGACCATCTTACAAAATAATGGATTGTCAAAACCAAAGCTGGAACAGCTAATTCAGTTCCTGATGAAGAATCGCTTTGAACTGTTCCAGGTATTTCCTTCCCCTTTTCTGACACACTTTGATTTTGTCACATATAATGTTAATAGCCAAAACAAAGCTTTATATCAACGTGCTTTTGGTGTACGTGATGACAATATGTAAAGGCTATATATTTAAATAAAGCCAGAAACTGGTTCTGATCCTCTGGGTTTGTAGGCTATCTGACCACTTTAAAGGTTCTTCTACACAAAATCTTTCTTGCCATGCTTCTTTTCATTTCATTTAAGAAAAGCCTGTAGGATACTAAATCACTTCTAGTAAGAATTTTGGTTTCTTTGGTTTGGTTTTTTCCTGGAGAGTGGAGGAAATCTTTTTGAATCATGCACCTCTGTTTCCATTGTCTCTTCCTTCCAAACTTTTAAGCTTACTGTAGGAATTCTCTCTCCAGCAAAACATTGCTAAAAACTCTTCTCTTAAGAAGCCAGATAATATAACAGATTTACCCCTCTGTAATTAAATTGTAGACATGGAAAATCATAACATAAATGAAGGCAGGGCAAGCAGTGGGAGCATGGCAGGTGGCAAGGGAATCAAATGGCTTGACCCCTGTCTCTTGTTTCCTGCACCCCTCCAACACTTCTATGCACTATGCCTGCCCCAGTCTTGCCTATACCCGTGGGTACCTGTTCCCCCAACACTTGCTCCTGCTCATGCCTGCCTCCTCTGCTGCCACTTACCTTCCTCTTGCATCTCCAGCTTTGGCAGGGAGCATGGAGCCTCCAGCCCCAGCTTGGCCATGCAGCTGCTTTTGCAGCCAGCTGTGGCTGGACTGGGAGGGTGGGGGTGCAGCTGGGGCTCAAATTCTGATCCTGGGCTCAGAATTAAAGCTGCAGCAGCCCCTGGCTGCCCCCTCCCCATGTTGAATGGAGGTAAAAAAACCCTTATCTTAAATTTGAGTAAATATGGTACAATGGATCATTCAAAAGTGACGTGTGCCATGCTGCAGAGGCCAAGCACCCACTCGAGATTTCTGGGACTGACAGATATCCACTTCAATATTTTAATTTTTTTTGTTTTGGAAGCTAAGATAGACTGTTTTAAATCTGCTGGATTTCCTGTTTGCCAGTGATACATTATGTGAATATATAGAAATAGTTTAATACAGGTTTCCCTTGCTTTATGCGGGTTCTGTATGTGTGAATTCACTCTTATGCGATGACCCTTTTTATACCAAAAATTTGTTATATGTGAGGTAAATTCACTCTTACGTTATCAGTGTGGTGGAAGCCTGCAGTCAGCTGCTTTGTGTGCAGTGCATTGTGGGAGTGATGCCCACCAAAATATAGTGTCCATCGTGGATCCTGTGCTCCTCGCTCGTTGCCTGCGACACGTGTTTCTGTAGTTGCCATCCCCATTATGACAGTGCCCTGTGTTTCTGTGTACTGTCTGCTGCTGGTGAGTACCAAAATTGTTTTGTAAAAGTGGTAGAAATGGTCTGGGTTCAGTACAGTTGAGGTCTTGGAACATATCCCTATTTGTTACATTGTAAAGTGGGTTCCCTTTACCCGAATTTGAGATGCATGCTGTTTTCCAGGAACACATGAACAGCGTAAAGCAAGGGAAACCTGTATTCGTGATGGATACTACTATGTTTTCTTGCATACAACACACCCTGGAATATAATATGCACATTGTTTTTAAAAATCAGAATGAAGAAAAAGATCTTTGGTTGTAGTAAGAAACTGAGTAGAAATGAATAGGGAAGCCAAGCCTGCTCATTGTTCTGCTTCCTCTGGATTGCTGCAGATCTTGTATTCTGTTTCACCAATAAGAGGCAAGACCTACTCTTAACATATTTCTCACTTATAATATGCCCTCCAGTTTTCAGGTTTTCAGCACCTTTTTTTGGGGGGGAGGTGGGGAGGAAGCTGGGGGGGGGGGGATGCATGTTGTATGCAGAAAATATGGTATTAAAAAAACAAACAAACTGTACATTCAAGCATGTAAGCGATGTAACTTTTTACTCTAGGTAAAACATAGAAAGTTAGCTTTAACTTGCATAGTATGTGGTAAATCTGTAGTGCTGCTTTTGCAGTTATTCTAATTGCACACAATACTAGGCGATACTAAACTAGTACCTAGGTAGTAGTTATACTAGGTAATCTGGCAGTTAACCTTCATCCTGGCTGCCTTAAAAAGTCAAATGGATATTAAATGCTTATACTAAAACCAAATCACTTTTTTCTTCTTCTTGTCAGGCTTACATATGATGTGGCAGTGACTCTAAAATACTTGCATGCTGCTCTTCACTGCTTCCTTTCTTCTGGGCTCAGAAATAAAAACATTAAACATTAAAGCAGAACAACAAAAGCTGTGCTTGCATTATTTACTGTTAGGCTGAAACTGTCAAGTAGTGCGTGAATCTGTTCTTGTAAGGCCTCTGATCTAGTTCTCAGCTAAAGAGTTTCAGATAAATATTGAAGATTTGGTGTACTTAATGAAAGCTCTGTAAATCACTATAAGGCTTGTTCTTCAGTGGGCCAAGATGAACGCTTCTGGAGAGTTTTGAAAGAGAGAGAGGGCTTCAGTTCTGGGGTACTAACTAGGCCTCATAAATTCCTAAGCTGAACTGTTCTGAAGTTAATGTTTCTTTTTAACTTGTTGTCCTTGGTAAAAAGTGGTACCTTGGAACGAAAGAAGGGGGCTAGTTATTGATTAATAGAACTTTCAATATAACTGTTTAGTTTGCAAAGCCCAGTGGAGATGGTTATAATAAGGGTCAAGGCTGGTAGCAGAGGGATACTTTGCTTTTTGTGCAGTTAGCAATCCTCTGTCAATTCCTACCACTCTACCCAAGCTTCCCCTAAATAAGTAAATAATATAAAAAAGCTAAAAATCCTTAGGTAAGTTGTAGATAAGCTCTCAAATCTTAAGAGAACACTGTTTCTTTTTAAACAACCTGGAATTAAAGTTTTATATTGCCTTTTTACATATGTTAAGGTCATCCAGACAATTAACTTGATATTACCCCTTCCTCCCAAAGGCTACTAAAAATGTAAATGAACCTTTGTGAAATTATTTGATTCAATCGTTGTTATCCTACCAAAAATTAACCTCTTAAATGCTTCAAGCGTATATATGGCTTTGCTGCAAGCATTTGTCTTGCTTAGCTTCCTATAGTGAATTGTTCATGGGACACCACAATTAAGCACTTTCTTGAGTGTCTTGCAAGACTGAACTGAACTGAAGTGATCCTTATGTCTTTTCACTTTTTTACTTTCTTTAAGCTACTTACTTTTCACTTCCTGAACTAATATAAGAAAACTTTACTGAAAGCTTATTTACATGCACCAGCTTAACTCTAGCTTTAAGTTTTTTGGCCTGTTCTTATGAGTTTGTATATCATGTAGTAAACTACTTAAATGTTTGTTCTTTGTTGTTTACATTTTTTAAACTTAAGCTTATAGCTGAAAATTCTGTTCAACAGACCCCCTTAACTCTTTTGGAACTTACTAGCAAGAAATTTAAAAGCCTGCTGGAAGGACAAGATCCAGATACCAATTCAGGTAGGAAATCCTAATCTGATCCATTTTAAACAAGCAGTTGCATGCAAATGAGCTGATAACATGCATGTTAGATTATAGTGAAACTTCTGTCTTGCTGCTTCATCCATTTGCTGTGCTTATACTGGTAATAGGACATTAAGGGGGATATACGAATTGCATCCTAGGCACTGTTTGGCAGGAATGCTCTTGACCATGCCCTGCCCACCTGCTTCCTTTTGCATGTTTGCAGAGCAGCTTCACTATTAGACACGTGGGTCTGATGTGTTTAGAGGAAGTGGGTGTACAGGATGTGCTTTGAGGATAGAAACATATCACCTTCGTGCTGCCACAAAAATTCTTACACCAGCACAACGGAAACACAAACAAGATGTCCATGCCTCTTGTCACACCATAAACAGCCAAAATATGTGGTGGTGACAAAGGTGGTCATAATTTCTGTCACTTTACTGTGGTGGCTGTCTGTTTGCTTTATGGCACAAAAGCACAGGCAGCCCAGAGCTGCCTGTGCTCTCCAGCCACCCTGAGCAGGCACTCCCATGGCTTTAGGTGCCCGGTTCTGTGCTCCCTGGGAATTCCCATGCAACATTAGGCCCTTCAAGTCCTGGGAACACCTGCCTAGCTTTCTGCTCTTACAGAGATGTGCCTCAGACAATCTCCACAGTGCATCTTCGTAAGCAGAGAACGTATTGCCTGCTGTCTCACATATGTTAGGGGCTGATCCTATGAGATGATGAGTGGAGTGTATTTCACCCAGTGAAGCGGATCAGCTGTGACAGGATGTGTCTGTTTATACCCAGAGAGCAGTAGAAACATGGTACAGACATATCCAAGTAGTTAATGCACCAGATTCTCTAATGAGTACCCACTTCACACAAGGAACAGAATTAAATGGAGACTGGGGCCACACTAAAATTTCTCGTACTTTCCCAGAGTCCTGGATTTTTGTGGATGATATCTTTTATTGGATCTCTCTTCTTCAGTATTCTGAAGTATTAAAGGTATTAGCTGAAAACACTCTTATATTCACAAACACTGATTAAAACAGTTAACTGTGTTCTAGCCCAGGACCGTCAAACTTCAAATATACATATACATTGTGTGTATACACACACATATGAAAGAGAGAACGTGTGTGTGTGTGTGTGTGTGTGTGTGTGTGTATCCCCACTCTCCCCTTCCCCCCCCCCCCCCCCCCCACAAACCCCCCAAACAAAAAACAAAAAAACCAACAACAACTTGATGCTGAATTCTTATTGCAGGAGATCTTGATAGCATGGCTGAATCCAGACCAGTGCTGCTCATGCAAAAGCTAAAGTGTTAACCCTTTCATATCTACTGGTTACAGCCAAAAACTACTGCCAATTCCACAGCAGCTATAAAAGTGTTACACTAGCTCTGACACTGAAGGCTAAACCCCTGCTCCCTGTGGCTCACAGGGGGTAAGTATGGCAACCATTTTACATTGTCTCCATGCTGCCATTCCTCTCCAGCACAGAAAATAAGCTTTCACACTTAAGACATGCACTCCAGTTTTGGAGGGCTGATTTGGGGCAGAGCAGGGAAATGTGTGTAGTATGTGAGTAAATATGGCATATAAAAATGGTGCTTAGTGGGTTTTAGGTCTTAGGCACTGGTAAATGTTTGCAAACCAGTTGACAGTTATGCTTGCAAGAACACAGTCACTTCTATTTTTATGACAAGCAGGAAGCAAAGACTTAACTTCTAAGTATAGCTTTAGCTAGAACAGGGCTGTCCACGTGATGGTCTATGGGCTCCATGAGGCTCCCTCCTGGTTGCTGCAGCCCCTATTGCTCCAGCTGCAGCAGCAGTCAGTCTCAAGGATCCCTCTTTCTCCCCTGGCTTTTGCTGAATGCCTACATAGGTCTAGGGGAGCTGGCAGCCTGGAGCTCCCACATGGCTTGGTGCCACATGGGAACTGACAAAGAGCTGAAGGTGAAGTGGGATGCTACCCCATGCAGGGTGCAGCCGGGAGGATCAGGGGTAAGGGCAGGGGGATGTCTACCTGCATGCACATGGGGCAAACAACCTGGGGGGCCCATGGTCCTTCCTAGTGCAGCTGGTGTGTGGTGTTTGGCCCTACTGGTACAGCTAGTGGGACATGTTGCCCCTCGCCCTTTGAAGTTGGCAAGCCCTGGGCCAGAATATGGTTAATAGCTTTTAATCGGTGTTTGGGAATGTACGAATGCTTTCGAACATTCCATCTGGCTCTGCTGCTAAAAATGTCCTCCGGACTGTCTAAACCTGGCTGTCAACTACTGTGCTATTTCTGTCATCTGACTCTTCAGCTGCTTCCCTTGACTATTCTTTCTTTTTATTTTTTTAAATTGAAAAATCTAGGGCATTAGGAATATTAAATATACAAAGACTGCAGAGAAGTAGACTGGGACAGTCTAGCATCCTTCCACAGACTGGAACAATCCGTCTCCAGCCCAGCGCAAGCCCCATGGTTTCAGTGGTGCATCCTCAGTGAGGGGGCTTTGCCTGCACCTGTAGTGAGATCCAGTCACTGGGAGCTGCAGCATTGCTGCTTTTCCCACTCCCCGGCTATGGCACAAGCACAGCTTCTAGCTGGAAAGGAGCTGTGCCAAGGCTGGGCAGCTGGGAACTGCACCCACACTGCTGGGGAGAAACCCAGTTTCTTCCCAGCCCCCCACAACCCTGCAGCAACGTGAGCAAAGCTTATAGCTGGTGGGAAGCTGCAGTGGGGCCAAGCAGCTGGAAGCTGTCAGCACTGCTGCTGCTTCTACCTGCCCCCACTTCTGGGTGCAGCATGAGTGCAGCTGGAAGCAGCCCAGCCCTGACTCAGTTCTCCACCAGATGGAAACTCTGCCTGTGCTTGAGCTGAGGACCAAGAGGCATGGAGAAGTGGCAGTGGTGCAGCTGCAGCTCCTCTATTCCTGGCATCAACATGGGGACAAGCAGAGGCATAGCTTTCTGGCTCTGTTGACTGGATCTGGTGGCTTCGGGGGATGTATGTTGCCAACTCCTGAACTAGGAAAATGGGGCAATGTTTTATATCGTTTCCTTTTAGCAGAGCAGTTGAATGTCACTAAACCTTACGTGGCTCAAGCGTCCAAGCTGCTGCCAGCACGCCTCTCGGTGATGAACTCGGGGCTGTTCCTTGCAGAAAAGTACATTATTACAATTCATTACAAATGTAGAGATGACTTTTCAGTGTAAATATGTTGATCAGATCTGCAGTTGGAACACTACTATTATAAAAATGGTATGTGTAATGTTAACATAATCCCAATTTATTTATTTATTTCTATTAAGGTTTCACATTTTGTCAACATTTGACTCTTAAAGAATTTGAGGACCAAAAGCAACAAACAACTCAACATCTCCTGATCCTGATTCGAGAGATGGACAACAATATGACTATTCCTGTCAAGCAAAAAAAGAAGTTACTTAAAGAATTCCAGAAATATCATTCTCTAGTATTTTAGTGGACATTTTGTTTTTGTTCTTGGGATGCTTTTTTTTCCCTGAAACAGGATGTGGTTTTGAATTATAGCTGAATACTTAAAATCTTATGGAAACAAGAATTTTCTTAAGAATGCTGACAAGTGCATTACATTATGCTGTTCTTGCATTGTATTAGGCAGATTATAAATCCTGGTATTTATTAGATCCGTCTTATAGTAGGTATTTTGTCAGGCCTCTTGTGGTACTCTAAAATGAAGGTCTGAATTTTTTTAATGAAATCTTTCTGGTGCAGTTAAAGTGCCTCAAATGCAGAATTTCAACTTTTTAAAATCAGATTCTAATTATGTAATTTTCAGGATATTTTTATTCATTTGTCTGTAACTTCCAGACAAGCCTTCTGGTGTATCAAAAATGACTGTTATTGCAGTTTCAAAGCAGACTTCTACAATATACAATTATTGTATTATTAAAAATAAAACATCTTTAGATCCATAACCATGAATGTATACAAAGTCTATAAGCAACTCTGGACAGGTAGAGGTTTACACTGTAAATGTGTGTGGATTTGGAAGTGATTAATTATTCCAGATTATGATGATATATGAAATATACTGCTATCAAGATTCTCTTGGGTATTATGACTAAATTGTCTACATGAGAGAGAGCAGAGTTTGCTATTGAAAGTTTTAAAAGAAGGCAACCTAGTAAAACATCTGAACACTAACAGGGTTTGAGGGTGGTGCCTTTAGTTTTGAACTACTGCTTAAATCTAAAGTCAGATTAAGTTGATAGCAGACCTCTGGGCCTCAATTTCCTCCTGTTCTTTTGTAAAATGAAGATAATTGTTTAATGTATCTTAAATCTATGCACTCTTGGCAAAAGCTCCACTATGTGGAGCCCCCTTGATACATTAAATATTCTCACCTCTTGCTTTGTCACCTCAATTTTTTTATCTGCATCTTCATCCAAGTCCTAGTAGAACTGAGGCCAGAGTAGGGGTTTTTTTGGTTTTTTGTCTAGCTTGTGTATTACTTAAGGCCTAGCTTTAAATGTTCAGCAAACAGGCTGGACTCAGTCAGTTCTTTTCTTGACTATATGAAAAGCACTGTGATGTAGGGAAGCTGAGATATACCTTTGATTCCATGTCAATGTTGCACTTCCATCTTCCCCTCTAAAAGCTATCCAACTTCCATTTTTTGGAATTGTGAAATGTAAACATCAACATTGAAAAAAATATTTGTAACAGAGGGCTGGATCTAATGTGCCTGGAATCCAGAACCATAAATTTAAGCACCTGTGCTTCCGGTGTAGTGTGGGGGAAGAGGTTAGGACCTCAGAAAGGTAAGCTCAAACACTCTGCATGTTGATCACCAGGGATCCTGGTTTTCTCCAATTTAAAAAATAAAAAAAATAAAAATCCACATTTAAAGGATCTAACTCGTTTAAAGAAAATAGCAACTGCTTGCCTGATTTTATTCAAATTGCTATGAATACAGAGGACCAATAGATCAAGAATCTAGTCTGCTCTCAGTGAAGCTACACATCAATCTGACTACGCTACACACCTTCCTTTGCAAATAAAGGCAGTTGTTTTGTCTTGACATTGAATGTTTTAGTTTGATTGCAACGTAGCTTTTGCCACACTGGGTATCCTAATTTTGTGGTATTTTACTAATTTAAAATATTTTGAAGCATTGGTTCTGGAATTCTTTAGAAGTGCTGAGCACCTGATCAGAGTAGCTAATTAATACCTTTCCACATCTCTCTAGTTCCATGTTTCTCATAATGACTCAGTGTTAATGGAACACTCCTTCAGTCCAATATAAAGTGCACAGAGACTGACATCTCAAAGTGGAGGTCTATCCCTTCCACTGAAGCAAGACTGATTAGCACACCCCTCAAATGTGCCTTATCTGTTCTTTTTCCCTGACAGAGAATTCCCAACTTTCTAGGTTTTAAGTTTCAAAGGTAGTAAAAGCTTGATAAACTACTTGATTATCAGCTTTCAGTATACAGAGTTTCAACTTTTTTCCACATTCAAGAAAACAAATGACATCTACTATTATCTTTACCAGTATCAGTAGTTGTGGTAGAATGATTAATTTATTGTCACCCTGAGCTGGAGAAAGTGTGGGACTGCTCCTGCCTCTCCTATAGACTGCAAAGGGGAGGGAGGAGCAGCCACTGGCTGCTCCCCACTGGTTCCTTACACACTGGAGTTTTGTGTGAGATGCAGGAAGGAGGCTTTGCCCCACTGCTTCAATCCACTCAAGAATGGGAGGACTGGAGCTCCCAGTTTGGGAAGGTGCAAGAGAAAGGGTTAAGTTACGGACTGAACATCTATACTGCTCCAGCTCCTGGAATCATTTCTAGCGGCAGAAATTTTCCACCACTAGAAACGCACAGCCTAAGTACGCATTTGGTTTGCTTCTATTCACAGGGACTTTACTGTTATGGGAACACAGTATCTACATTTCCTATTTAAGAGTGTGCGATAAAGATTGCTGAGGGGAATGCCTGCTACTGGGCGCCTCCACATACCCTCCCCCATGGACAGATGGCATGACCACAGGCACCTGTGTTCTACCTCTGCCTCACTGGCCCCATGCTGTGCCAGAGCTGGCCATCACACTCAGCACAAGTCAGGGGCTCTGGTGGCAGGGACAGCTCCTCTTGCACTGCCCTGTTCTCTACCTGCTGCTGTACCCCTGGATGCTGCCAGCTGGAAGCAAGGCAGGAACTGGAGTACCAGTGCTCTGTCCACCCCCGCTGCAACGTGGAAGAGATGCAGCAAGTCCCGCCAGCTGCTCACCTTGGGCTGGCCGAAGACAAGCTGCTACTGCCCCACATCCCACTCCATGCCGGTGCTACCCCAGCCCAACTGTCAGGACCTTGTACTGTTGCCCCCTGCAGCCGGATGTACTCACAACCTGCCCCTAGACCTCCTGCTGTGAACAGCCATGCTCCCCCTCCCCCCAGACTGCAGGGCTTCTCTGCTTGCTGGTAAGTTTTGTTTTTTTTGTTGGGGTTTTTTTTTTTTGGGGGGGGGGGGGGGGGGTTACCTCCAGTGAGACCACCAGAAGCACAGAGCCTACACTTTTTCATAAAGCCAGCCCAAATTTGCAGTTTCTGCAAAAATTGCACAATAGCATTTTCAGTAGGTCCCTATAAATAACTGATCACTGTCATTTAACCCATGCTTCTGCGTTTACCTTAAAAGCAGGTGAATACGAGAGGTACATGAAATGCTTTATCTACTGTAATAAGAAAATTATCCCATAATTAATAACAGATCAATAGCCAAAAAAGAAATGGAGGGAAGAAAAGTATTAAAACATTTACAAAAAAAATAACTTCTCCTAAATTAGATCAGGCATTTATAGAAAATGTACAACTGGTTAACTTAATATTCCAAAAAAATACAGTGTAGTTGTAATGTCATCAGAGCAGTATACAAGTTTTAAATACTTCTAGGCATTTACAAAAGACAAAAAACAAGCTTTTTAAATGTAAAATTTAATTTTTTTCTGGAAAATATGAAAATAGGCCCCATCTTAGAAGTCAAGATGAATAGTCTTCTATATATACAAGTTTTGGAATCAGTAGCACTCAGTTGAAAAAGTTTAGACTGAAAGCTCATTTTTAATACTGTGCTTTAATCTTCAAACTATTTTTGATGATTCATACTTTTAATAACTACAATGTAGCATTCCTCTGGTACAGTGGAACTTTTCAAATTCATTCAAGTTTTTTACTACTAATTGTATAGTCTTATAGGGAGGAAAGTTAAAACACTGTCCTAACCTACAGAAAATTACTTTATTGTTTAATTAAGTTCTAATTAATGTGAAACAGCAGAGTATCTATCAGCTATTTAAATATCAAATTTCTCTTCACAAATACTGTGTCCGTGTTCTTCATAGTCCTCTCGAGTTACTACCATGTCTTCAAAATCATCATTTTCAGAAATCAACTTTCCACCTTCCCAAGAGTAAGTAATAGGGCTGAAAAGAAGACAAGACAATTTATCATAAAGGGTTAGTAAATTAATTTTAAATACTTCAAATTGTGTAGAATTTTAACAGTACAGTGTTAAAATGACAGGTCTCCTTTTAGAAGAAAATAGCCATAGCTCTGAATAAAATGGTAAACCAGGAGAGAGTCACAATCTGCTCATAATTCTCCCACAGGCTAGCCAGTCCATTTAGAAAGATGCAAGAAAGCCTGGCCAGCAGTATCCCCAAGGATTTTTTTTACTAGGTTTGAGAACTGTAGATCACTCACAGTAGTGAGGGTAAAAGTGACCAAACATGTTAACACTGAACTTCTAATGAAGATATTTAATTCTAACACTTGCATTTTCTCATCTCTAATACTGCAGCTTTCCAAGTGATTTTGAAAATGAGAGCCATTTAAAGAAGTGAAACACTATGAAGTTAGGTAAATTTTAATTAGAACTTGTTAAACTCCAGACAGAACTATTTTTTTATTTAATCAAATATCCACATACAAACAGACTCACCACACATTTACTATAAATAGAAAGGCTTCAGCTTAAGGCTCTGTTAATTTCTTGACAGCAGGAGTATCAAACTTATGGCCCCTAGTCCAGATAGCCCATAGAATTGGGTCTTCCAGTCTACCAAGCTTCTCACAGGTCAGAGGACCCACATCTACAGGGCAGATCTAGTCAGCAGGGCTCATCATTACAGCATTAATCCCCACTGTTTCAGCCAGGCTCCAGAACCAGGGAGTAAGTACCACATCTGCTCTAGCAGCTGCAGGAATTAATATTACAGCTTGTGGGTTGTGTGGCTTGTGGGCCCAACAAATGTTGATACTCCTGCTGCTCTACAGCCATACCAATCAATTTGTTTTGGGGTTTTTGAGAGATCAAATAAGCCTTTTAAATTTCCAGGCATATAAAAAGAGCATTTAGCTACTCAATACTTACTTGGAAATGAGTCTTTAACATCTCACCGCCGCCCCCCCCGCAAGTTTAGTATTCAAAACTATATGGCTAATACTAACTATGCAAGCTTTGAGTCAGATAGTATAAGACAGCAATTTAACTATAAGATTTAAAACGCTGACTTGAACCCAAGGTTTAACTCCCACTACTAGGATTGACTTAGTCTTTCACCCTCACAAGCTAGGTAAGGATTCCATAGCATATACCCTTTAAGTGAGTAGTCATAGCTGAAAAATGGCAACATACTAACCTGGAATATGTACAGTCCAAACAATGCTCTTTAAACACACAGAATTTTAGATGACTGAGCCACCTGCATCAGCTATATAAATCTCCCCACAATACTTTTTAAAAAGGTAAAGGTCTGTCCTAGTATATTTGTCCAAATTTCATACTTTTAATAACCTACAATGTAGCATTCCTCTGGTAGAATGGAGCTTTTGTAATTCCTTCAAGTTTTTTTAAATAATTTTGGACAAAATTATTTTCACCAGTGCTGTATGCTTCCCTATATGGCTGCCACCCTCCAAACCTGGAAAGTGACTACATGCCCAGTGACTTGGTGTGGCATACTCTGTAATACAATGAACTTCTTCAAATTCAGAGATGGTATATGCATTAGACTGTATGCTGACCCACTTGACTTCATCAGTGTTAGGAATTTACTATCATGAATACTTCACTGAAATTAACTATTATGCAAATGTACAAAATAAACATTTTATTGCGTCACATACAGGAGAGGCAGGTGGTATGGAAGCTTTTTAAGTTAACTAAAAACTGACTAGAATGATTTAAAAACACCCTTCTGGTCCAATTTTGGGCTACTTAGAGATACTAACTTAAGTTAACTCATAGCATATAAAAAGTGCCACAGCTAAAGCATCTTTATAAAAAAAAAAAAAAAAAAAAAAAAAAAAAAAATCAGTAAAAGAATTCTACAATACCAATTCTGTCAGAAGAG